GCAGAGTGGATAGCTAAGCACCTTCATGAATTATTTTCCAAATCATTGCAGGACGGTGAGGTTCCTCTCGACTGGAAAACAGTCAAGATTACACTGCTGCACAAAAACGGGAGTAAATCTACAATTATAAATTACCGCCCCATATCACTCGTTTTAACAGCTTGCAAACTAATGGAACACATAATACATAAACACATCTCAGTATTTCTCGAAAAACAAAATTTCTTCACCAAGGGACAACATAGTTTCTGCAAGCACTTCTCTACACAAACTCAATTAGTAGAAACTATACATGATTTTGCGGCATCTATTAATAATGAAAATCAAACTGACGCTATTTTGCTGGACTTTCGCAAAGCCTTCAATACGATTTCTCATAATAAACTGCTTTAGAAATTAAATTGGGTACTTTGAAAGGCTAAGCTAATATTCTGGATTTCGTCATACATAACCGGTCATCTACAAATGGTTTCTTTTAATCAACATTGCTTGGGTAGAATTGCAGTATCATCTGGTGTCCGGCAAGGTTCAGTTCTCGGACCACCTTTTTTCCTTATTTTCATAAATGGTATACTTAATGACATCCCAGTAAAAATAAACTTTACACTGATGATTGCATTCTGTACCACAAAGTTAAAAACCCGTATGACCAGCGGCTCCTAAATCAAGTTTTTGAGAAGGTTATATCATGGTGTGAAAGTTGGCAGATGTGTCTTAATCTTGAAAAAACAGTAGCAATGAAAATTACTCGCAAAAAATTGCCCCTAACTTGCTATTAAGGCTACAAAAATAAACGCCTTAGCAAGGTAACTGAGTACAAATATTTAGGGCTGTTAATAACAAGTGACTTTGAGTGGAATGAGCACATTGACCAAGTCATAGCTCCCGCACAACATAAGCTTTTTTTTTTCTGCAGGGCACTGAAACTATCCATGCCCACTGTACATCTCCTTGCATACAAATCCTAATTCTGCCCATGTTAGACTATGCTGTAATTATCTCAAACCCATACACTAAAATAAATATAGATAAACTGGAATTGATTAAGCTTTCTATATAATCGCTAAGACCGTACATCAGTAACAGACCTGTTAACCAGAGCCCAGCTTTAACTTCTATCCACTAGAAACTGTCATTCACGCTTGAAGTTGCTTTACCAAACATCAATGGGGCATGTTAATGTCGATGCCGATTCCATCATGCCACTCACCTCTCTGTACAGTATAAGAAAATGGCATAATAGAACACTAGCACCGCATCAAACGTGAAATATAGCGTTTAAATATTCTTTTTTCTCCAGGATGGTGAATGATTGGAATTTACTATCAAATGAGCAAGTGTTGCAGTCTTCACTGGCAAGTTTTACTTCTAGCCTGTGCTCATGAACCTGGTTCTCATATATATACGCAAACCTTGTTAAGTAAAATTGACCGGTAAATAGATATAACAAACTAAACTAGTCTATCAAATAGCCGTTGTGTGATAAGTATAATGTTTTTTGTGGAGCTTGATGCTTGTTTGGCACGGCTCTTTCAAAACTCCCGCACCAACCTTACAGCCATGCCACACGCGGCCGAGAGAGCCGTCCTCCTCACACAGCCAGCAGAGAGGATGGAGGGAGCGCTCAGCGGGTCACATGACCGAGAAGTGGCGCCGTGGTGCAAAACGATTTCCCTCTCACTTAAGAACACACGATGGGGAAGCTTCAGAAGACTTCCATTTATTCACAAATCAGGGGACATCCGTCATTTATTGAAGTAATAGGGGATGCTCGTCTGCCTTACAGCGAGTCAATCAATTTCGCATGCAGTTAGCGAAGCAAGGTAGTGCGCGGGTAAGTCCAGCACCAATGCTCTCTAAAAACGACGGCAACGACTGCGTCGCCGCTGCTACCCTCTGCACCAAGAAAGGAGGAGCGTCTCCACGCTGAGAGAAGCAGATCTGTATTAGAGAGAGAGCTTGGCTCTGCGCGACAGCTTTCTTTTTTTTTCTCTCTCTTTCCGTGCACGGTCTTGAAAGGAGAAGGGTCTCTACGTGCAGAGAGGGAAAAGAGAGAAGCGCAGCACAAGCGCGTCGCAGATCGGCATTTGAAAGAGAGCAAATAATTCAACACAGCCTTTTCTTTCCTTTTCTTCTTTTCCTTCTTCGCCCGCAACATTGAGAGGTGCCGCTGCGGGATCGGGCATGGTGCTGAGAGCATTTTCAGAGCGCAGTATGTTCGAATTACCGTTGCAAGTGCTCGCCCGTTCAAATTAGAAATTACAGGGCGTTTTTGCCCATTGGAACACACATAGCTTTGACGGGACCACAGCGTGATTTTGAATTACACAGAAGTTCGAATTGATGAGATTTTACTCCGTTTATTTTCCGTCGCACGCGTGGTCACGTAGCGGTACATCAGGCTGCGATGCGGTTTTCGTCTTTCCATGCTTATAGGTGTGCGCCCATCTGAGCATACGTTGCCACAAACAAACGATGGATATAACGAAATAAATATGGCTCCCCTTCAACTTCGTTATAACAAGGTTTGAGTGTATTACGTTTATATGTTCACATGGACACTTGGTACGAGTGCACATTTATACTTGAATGCCTTTGCGTGTATATTGCTTTATTTAGTAATGGTTATTTACTTCCACTCGATAATTTGTTCTTATGTTCACGTAATTGCATTAAGGATGATTATATATGTATTTGTATGCATGTGTATGTGTATGTTCAGATGTGTAATCCGCATTTCATTTCTTGTTAGGTCACTTTCTGTTTTAGGTTATATGAATTATGTGGAGAGTTATGCCTACACTTGTTCTGCACATTTCGTTGTACCAGATCCCACATTGTTCATCTTTCCACCCTATAAAAGTCACCACTAGGAATTGTAGTATTCATAAATAAAAATTAATAAATTCTCTCATTGAACTCGACTGCTGTCTCCAGGAATTAAAACATTAGTAATATTATTTAAATACTGCTGCAATTGCAGTGTCTAGCGATTTCAAGATTTCTGACTTCGTTCTGGGAGCTACATAAAACTGCCCTGCGAGCCACATGCGGCCCGCGAGTTACAGCTTGCGGACCCCTGAGATAGACGGTTTAGCGCAGTTTGGCTCAATTTACGTCGATTTTATCATGTTGGCACAAAAAGTCTCGTTTGGCGCACTTCGGCGCAGTTGGCGCAAAAGTGGGATCCCTGTCTGCGTTTCTTCGGCACCCCGCAGGGCTCAGTTGTCTTCCCACTGCTGTTTAACATTGCAATGTGTGGTTTTGCTGCCAAGTTCGCAAACCAAAAAGGCATCAAGTTCGCCATCTACGCAGATTACATCACTATATAAAGTGTTGGTGGCTCAGGAGGGCTCTGTGGTGAGCTCTCTTCAAGAGGCCGTCGACTGTGTTGAAGTCTACATAAAGGAAATGGGCCTCAAGTTCTTGCCGTCAAAGTCCGAACTTCTCTTATATCAACCCACAAGAAGGGGACCCAAACCAAAAACTGAAGACCACTGGCCGACATCAACTTTAGGCTGCACACGACTTAAGGGCAGTATATTACGACGGTGAACTTCGTACTCGTTCTGAGCATGATCATCGAGGCAAATGGACAGAATGACCACACGATCGACCGTCTTACATCCAAGGCGGAAGGGGTCATCCGACTAATCTCATGTATTTCAAACAGTTGGGGTGGTCTTCGAGAGGACAACCTCTACAGACTGTTCCATGCATTCTTGATGAGCCACTGAGCTATGTCGCATCTATGCACAGGTGGCAACTCTAAGAGAGAAAAAAATTTAACATACTCATAAAGAAAAGCATCAAGAAAGTTCTTGGCATTTCTATGCTCACAAGCACTGAGAACCTTACGAAACTTAGAGTCCACAACACACTTAAAGAAGTTATCAAGGCTCAACAGACGGCACAGGTTGCATGCTTTCAATCACATCAGAGGGGAGAAAATTCTGATTGACACTAGGGTCAACGCCCCGATGCTCGAAGTGCAAAATACACCACTTAATGATTTTATGCACTCTCACATCAAAATGCATCCCCTTCCACGAAATATGCACCTAGAGTACATTGTAGGCAGGCGTGTCGCTCGAGCCTCTTCTCTTTTAGATCACGCTCATGCCCACTTGTCTGCTTCATGCTTTGTTGACGCTGCCTAGTACAGCGGTTTTGCTCACTTTGCAGTAGTATCCATAGATACTAAGGGTCAGATTTTATACTCAGCATCGGTTCAAACCATTTCTTATTACAAAGCAGAAGAGATGGCCTTCACACTAGCTCTCCTTGATACACAAAGAACAGATATTTATACGGGCTATAAATCCACTGCTAGGATTTATAGCCCGTATAAATATCAGCGTGGCGCTCGTCATATCGAGACCTCACAGGCTAGGCCTCTCGGTCTCCACATGGGAACGGCCCACGATTCTACCCCCATAAAACGGGGGTGGAATCCTTCGGGACCCCAATAAAGTTTTTAATCCATCCATCTTTTCTCGTCTTTTCCTTATTATAACCACTTAGAGAGAAAAGACCACAATCTTGTCAAAGATTTGTTATAAAATGAGAAAAGTCATAACCGAATCTTATATAGTGACACAGGCACATGCCATGGAAACTATCAGCACACCATGTATTATTATTTCTCTTCACTTTCTGATGCGCATACCCATGTGAATACTTCCTTTCTTTATCTTGCGTCAGGTTTGTTACGATGCCTTATATCTGTGTATATATGAAAGGAAAATGCCTGAAAATGCCATAACAATTGTCCGCCTGCACTTTACATTTGTGTTGTGTTCCAATCAGTCCCTGTACAGTTAAAAGCGTGTTTACCCAAAAGGGTATGAGTACGCACAGTCAGAGAAAGGTGTTTTACAGCTGCAACGCCAAAAAAAGGTTATTTCCCTAGAAGTGGATGCTTTCCAGTGCCACATGACACGCAGTAGCGTTGCTGCACTTTGTGCACAGCACTGTTTCACACTAAGCGCAACTCTTACCACTGTAGATTTCATCCACCTTGCGAATGATCTCCCAGAGTCTTTCATCACTCACGTTCTTCAGCTGGATCTACAATGAAAGAAACAGGAAAGAATCAATCAGTTATAAACCTTCGGGAAAAGACTAGGTTTTTAAGTAAATATCACAGAAGTATTTCGTAACAATGCCCATTCAGACTTCGCAGCTTTAGACTTGGTGTACTCATAAACTCACACATGATATGATAAAAAATGGTTACTGCATAAAGCCTCTAGGAATGTTAGTTCAGCACTGTGTATGTGTCCTCTTTTCGTCCCGTTTTCGGCGCTGTTTAATTCTTTGTCAACCTCTAGGAATCACGAAGAAAAAACACAATGTTCTTGAAAGTATTGTAGTCAAGATGGCTTACGATTCTGCTACTGAAATGACAGTGTTGTTCACTGAGGAAAAAATTGAGTCCAAGTGCACATTACTAATGAATCAAGGCACAGATATGCTCCAATGAAATGAGTTGAAAAAATGAAATGAAATGCTCCAGAGAAATGTGCTGTGTTTTTTCTCTTTGCGTAGGGGTAGAAGCTTCCAGGTTCTTAGTACTTTAAAGTGAGAGATGCACACTTGCCCAAGCACTATCTCCAACTTCATACTACTGTAAAGTCCCGAGAAATCACCCCCTCGACGCTGAAAGATAATCTGGAAGGGGGCCCTTGCTTGGTCTCGGAGACTGATTCAATATAGAAGTGCCTTTAAGAAAAATGCACACCTGTGTTTCTATAGAAATGCTGTATTGAATACACACGCATTTACTGTTTTACAGACCCGAGGAGAATCCTTGTGTGAAATTTCAAGTGTTATGACAAGGCGGGAAAGATGTTCTACAAATGTTCAGACAATTTGTGACAACTCAGAATGCAGCCTTGGGGCATCACACAATAAAAGTGTTAAAAAAATCTTGCGCATATATAAGGACTCTCAGAACTTTGGTTCCAAAAAACTATTGCTGTAGAATTTCGTAGTGGAGAACAGGTTGAAATAATTGCGGGAGGGGAGGGGGCGCTTGCTCTGTATTTTACAGTGCCCACTCGCGATTGAAGTTGGAATGGAGGCACTAGCATGTGCTTTTTTCATAGCGTTGTCAGGGCTGCACAAGAGGCCCATTGAATGTGACTATCCATACAACCAAGAAATGCTTGCCACCAATTCAGCTGCTCTATCTGCGAGTGCTCTCTTCACACTATTTTATCTGTGTGATACTTTGCAGTAAAGATTCACACCTATTTTTATATTGTGTTTCAACCAATTTTGCTTAAATACCTGCAGTCCGAACAAAGTGGACATTTATTACAGTTTCTTATGAGAGATTATGCTTTGAATTGCAGCCCGAGTCATGCAGTGAAGTTCATACATGTACAGCTTACTCACCGCCACCTTTATTTAGAAATAGAAAGATAGGCTGCTGCTTGAATTGTACAGGAAAATAAAGAAGGAGGTGGGGTAATTTGCCATGTCTGTTACAGGCAGGTGTACTTGCTGCCAAGGACCTCAAAGGAGGATAAGTGACAGTGGTGGAAATGAATCTGCACTCCAGCCAAGTGCACAACGAGCTAAGTCAGGAACATTATTGAAACCAAACATAAGATAAGCATTTTAAAAACTGCTAATTAAGCATTGTCTTGGCTTCATCATCCAACATGTGGTTGTTTTGAGAATTTTTTAAATTTTTTTCCTGCATCAAAAACCTCAAGCTGAGCGTTCTGTTGTTATTACTAGTACATATGTTTGCAGGAGCTTATTTTGCTGCAATCTTGGATAGGATATTTAGTAAAAGTGCTCAGTGGCATTAATGTTTATCTGCTCCCTCGTCTGGTTTTAATATGCACTTTTTTCTAGATTTGCACTTGTTTCTGATTGCAGAGAATTCATACTGATCCTTGAGGTGTGTAGTAAATAACAAGCAACTTTTTCAGGCAAGGTTACTTTATCATTTTCGGTGATATGTGGGGTTTAACATCTCAAAACCACCATATGATTATGACAGATGCCTAATTTTACATTTTCTTGTCAGTAACACTTATTAAACATTTATTTGTCCTGAAACATTATTTCTTTGACAGTATAGCTGCATCACTGCTGCACAATTATATAGAATTAGTTAGTCTAATGAAGATGAAAAAGTTTTGTTGATTTGCAAAAGGTGTGTGTATGGGCCAACTTGAACACATAACCAACTGTTTCAAACATCCTCCCGTGCAGTAAATGTTCCCTGGTGAACTTGTCTTTTGGTTTGACCAAATGTGAAAAAACAAAAAGGTCATGGCAATAGGGAAGGCCTTGAAAAATCACACTGTTAAATAATGCCATAGATTATGTGATGAACCACACATTCACATGAAAAAACTGGGAGCATAATTTTGCAAGCACTGCACATCTATGCTGGTTTAGAGAAGAATTATTAAAATTAAGTTCGACAGTTTCATGTCGCAAAACTAAAATCTGGTTATGAGGTGCACTGTTTCAAGTTGAAGCTTAATTATTTTGACCTCATAATCTCCCAGAGTGCATGGAACTAGGGCACTAATACATATTACAACTATTATAATGTGACTCCTGAGGTTCGGAATCAATTCTGTGATCTTGTGCAGAACTGCACACAGTGGCGGATCCAGAAGGGGGGCGCTAGAGGCGATTGCCCCCCCCCCCCCCCCCCAAAGCCTTTCAGTACCCCCTCCCCTCTCTTCAGTGCTTGCCGTCCACCTGTTATCACCAATTAGGAAAATCAGTGAGATTCCTTTAAGCACACATTAATAGTATTTGTGCTATAATAAAGTTTTTAAGCTAGTAAAAAAACAAAAAAGTAATGACCGGTGTTACTTTAAGCAACCCCCCTCCCCTAAAATGATTGGCATTGACCCCATTTTTTACCTTAGGGTCAGAATAGAGATACAGACTTACTTTCTTTTAATGCACTACTTCACATTTAAATTAAGACAGTCAATCAATCAATCAATCAATCAATCAATTTTATTTGGCATTCATTACAGCAAGATAATGAACACGAGGACAAGAACAAAAAGCTGCTATACAGCAGCTTGACAAAGGTCCTTGCCCCAATTCTCGACAGCCAAAACAACCTACCATGCATTTAAACATCTCTAATTTCACATTTCTATTAAACATTTTCGGTTATCACATCTAGCAGAAAAATCATGAAACAGTGCATAACGCAAGCGGAAATAATGTAGAATAATGGAATGCACAGGTTATTTCGCACAAATGAGATGTACAAAATTTGTATGCGCAATAAAGACCATTATGCATCATGTAAGTAAACATCTTAACAAACTGAGAAGCTTGTATAACAGGCAAATTTTTTGATAAAAAATAACTTAACGTAACGCGCACTACTACTTTGAAGATAAGTGCTCACCCACATACCGTTTTATTGCACTTCTTGAAGATCTTTGTATGCAAATGCCATTTCTTTCAAATTCGTTGAGCAAGCGTGGCACAAGGTATGACAGACTGCTCATCCCATATTTCGTTCGCGAAAAAGGTATGAGCCATCTGTCTCTCTCCCTTATGTTATATGAGATAGCTTTAGGTATAGTCAGCTTGCATAATAACAAAAACTATGGTTGTTGCATCGGAAGTATTTTTGGCATTTTAAAGCGAGGTTAACGTTATAGAAATTTTCGAGGGGGCAGATCTTAAGGGTGGAAAATAGTTCTCCAGTATTGGCATCATACTGAACATTTGCTATGTGACGAACTGCTCTTTTCTGAAGCACACTCAACCTATGTAAATTGACTTTTGTAGTGTCACCCCATACTAACTGACAATACGTTAAGTGAGGGGAAAATAGGGCGTTATAAATCATGCGTTTAACGCTCCTCGGTAAAGTATAGCGCAGTCTACAGAGCACCCCACAGGCTTTCGCTAAACGGGTGGCAATGTGATCAACATGATCATTCCAAATGAGATGATTGTTAAAAACAACTCCCAAGGTTTTGACGTTTGATGCAAGTTCTATGCGAGCAGATCCAAGCTCCAATCTGAAATCTTTAAGATCATGTCGTTGCGGCGGGGTGAAAAGGACCGCCTTAGTTTTTGCTGTATTCAGTTTTAATGAATTAACGAAGCTCCATTCGGCTAAGCATTTCAGTGCACTGTTAGAGATGACCGAGAGAGTACTTATGTCACTTGATCTCAAGAAAATGCTGGTGTCATCTGCATAAACTATGAAGTCAGCGTCATTAGAAATATTTGTTATATCATTGATATAAATGTTGAATAGTATGGGCCCCAGTATGCTACCTTGCGGTACTCCTTGAGTTATTTTTTGTAGTGTAGATTGTTCTGACATGATGGCAACGCATTGCCTTCTGTGCTTTAGATACGAAATTATTAACTCATTCAGGCGGTCAAACGCCTTAGAATAGTCAACAAAGATACCCAACATAAATTGTTTATTTTCAAAACTGTTCAAGATTAACTCTTTTTGTGTTAGTAGGGCAAGTTCTGTTGACATTCCTTCACGGAAACCGTACTGTTGCGCTGTTATGATCGAGTGTTTATCGCAGAAAGCAGTTATTCTTTTGCAAATAATTTTTTCCAATCCTTTTGATATAACAGGGAGAACAGACACTGGCCGATAATTCGAGAATACATTTCTGTCACCAGATTTGAAAATGACGCTAACTTTCGCGCATTGCATTTCCTGAGGAAAGATTCCGGCACATATTGAAAGATTAAAAATGTGAGTAAGTGCAGGTGATAAGATGTCAGCCACAAACTTTATCGGTCTTATCTGTAACCCGTTTATGTCACGTGCTTTGCTATTTTTTAAGGACATAAAAGTTTGGAAGACTTCATCGGAAGTTGTGGGCGCAAAAAAAGCTGTGTATGCATTGCGCGGACCTAAAAATTCAGTCGCGGCAATATTAAAATCGCTTTTTTCCAGACTAGTAAAATAATCGTTAAACTGATCTGCAAGTTCTACGCCTTTTATGACCCTGTGATTATGTATTAGCTCAAGCTCAGCAATCTGGCGGTTGTTGCGGTTTAACAACTGGTTAATTTCGCGCCAAAGC